AGGAAAGAGGTGCATTATATGCGCAGGGTAAACCAGGAACAGAAAACAGAAGACACCGACAACGAGAAAGGGGGCATAAACGGAGGCGAAGTTATGCTATGGAGAGCCGGATGGGGACTTCTGAAAGTCAAACGTACTTCAGCCAATCAGGTCCTTAAACCCGAATGCCTGGAAAATTGTTCGAGAACTTTTAATCGGTGGGCTGAAACCCCTTAAACACGGCCCGAAAGGCTTCGATACACTCTGGAAGAAAAACCGTTATCTAGGCTCTAGGGTTGTGCGCGTGGACTCTGTTGCTCGATCGCGCGCATGCATCTCGTGCGGCTCTGTTGTTCCACTTCAGCTTAACTGTCTGTCAGAACGACAGAGGTGCTAGTAGACATTTTCCTCCTCCAAATTATCCAAACTCTTTGACCCTTAGACTACCTGGTCCTTTCGCAAGGGGCGGAGCATTTTATCACACACTCTCGTGAATGCGGGCTCGGTTATTGGGTCGAGTAAGTCTGAATTAACGGTTAACTGGACAGACTGGCATTACCGGCAAAGATAAAGGAAACTGGAATAGTCGTTTCTGGCTTATTAGTTGTCATCAGTCGGCCATACTTAATCCCATGTGCTTGCAAACGCAGAGAACGAACTCGCGACCTGTTGGTTAGATATCCAACGCTCTAGGCGTTGAGCTAAGAGCTCACTATCCTGTTCGTTACGATCAGACAGTGGGGAAGGAGGGGATTGAACACTAAGTCCTGAGTGGGACGATCACGTCCCGCAACGCGCTCCTCTACCATTGTCATGGGTTAATAGTAGTGAAACAAGTGTTTCATTTGCCAGTTAAGACCACGGACGGATCTTCCTTTGTACAACCACATAAATGTGTTCTCAAGATGCAAGCTTTTAAATTCAAGAGGCTACAAGTTAAATTGTGGCCTGCATTCTGTAAAGCGAAACGGAAGGTAGATCCGATGGAAACTGAGACGCAGGTGGAGGGGTTAGACCCAACGGCGCCGGCGCCAAACAAAACAATGTAAGGTGGTTGGCAGTAAAGACAGTGGACAAGGCCTGACAGGACCGAATGTCTGAGTGTTTACTGACAAATAAAGAAAAATTTTCAACTGTAAATGTCCTACAGCAGAACGCGGAGGAGACTTAACGGGAGTGGGTATAATGTGAAACCCGTTCTGAAAGACGAAAACTGCATGGGCTGACGGCAATACACTAAACGAGTGTTTTGCCTCAGTCTATTTTAGCAATCACGAATTCAATCCAGCATGACAGTGATGAATTTGGCAAATCAAGTCGATTAGTTTTAGTTTCATGTAATTTGAAATACGCGTGGATTTGTCAAAGGCCTAGAAGATCAAAGTCCGCAAAACAGGCATATGGTATTACTGGATGTACGCTGGAAGAAACTATCGGCAACATATTTGGACAACCATCCTAAATCAGCTTAAGGCAAATGCGGTTTTGCTAAGAAGCGCAGCTGCAAATCAGGATCGTCCATCTACTTTGGGATTTAAGCCTACGGAGGCAAAATTACGATGCAGCTCTGGATATTTTAACAGGCTCGGTCCTAGCAGACAGTGTCGCATCGAGCCTCAGGAGAAAGCAGACAGACAATCGAAATTAAATCACGCTCTATGGGCATTTTTCCGCGGAAAATGGTCCGAGGCATTGCGAGATACTGATGTTTTGAGCAAGTCACACAGGAAGCGCAAGTTCAACAGTAAATACGGACACAACAACAAGCTATTTCTCTTTGATTTTCTCATGCACAGAAGAGATGGATGTATTCCCACATCAATTTATTGGGAGAGAGCACTGGAGACAGTTTTTGGAGCTTTACTTCGATTCAGATTCGCATATTTTCACATTTCTGTCCTAAGAAAACGAAATCAAAGGCTCTGTTGGCTTCAAAGAAACTGGTGTCCACACATTTCGACAATGAAAAACTCCACAGCCATCTCGACATACGAACCGCAATGATATAAAGAACGCCTGACGGCCGTGTAGACAAAGCCTTAAGTTATTTACATTGTTTTCACTTATCTGATGGAACATACGTGCATATATCTTCAGAAGAACTCACCAAGAACTGTCCTCAGTCCCCTTCCAACTTCCCTTGGCTTGTTGCCAAGATCAAGCACTTTTGGGTACCGTACTGGTCTTCTTGGACACGCATGAGCATTAAAATTGAAAAATCGTTCACTATTCAGCCTTTGTGGTGGAAGTGGCTGTCATGGAAAACGGCAAGCGAACTACCGTGAGGCACCTTAGACGGTTTATTCGGTTGCAATCAGCTAATACGTATAAAAGTTACACTGAGTACGTTTCGGTATCCGCAGAAATGCAGACATGTTGTCCCAATTGGACCGAACACCGATAAAGGAGTCTAAAAGTTAAAATCTGCAATACGAAGGCGATTGCTTTCTGATTTATCGTTGGAGTATGTCCCTTAGCTTAAAGCAAACAGAAAAGATACTCGGATAGTATGCAATTTCTGCTACTTTCGGTCAACGTTTCCGTAAACGGCCTATTTGAAAATCCAATAAATAATCAAGTAAATCATGGGTGTAATTGCCCCAATTTAGCACGATCATGTTGTACCGACCTAAGGGTAATAACGTCACCAAAATCCGGTCCTGGCTCGCGGCGACATCGAGGTAGCTAAATAAATATGTGGATGGACGTAGAAAAGGCTGACCCCGAGGACAACTTTTTACGGCCTTTTGGGTCACCATAAAAACTGGCACATGTCTGCTTGAGATTCTGACACCAACAGACGGCAGCGAATTAGGACACTTATGATGCTGAGAACTAACAGTATGGAGCAAGGAGAATTAGAAGTGATAAATGATGCTACTAGCAGAGGTAATTATGCTGAAGTAGCTTATAAAGCCAGTGTGCTAGTGTAACCAATCGAACTTTTACATCCTGAGGAGTAAATTGTTAAAACTAATTTTTAATTTCCAGAAAACTCGTTTAAGGGCGTAAAATAACGAATAACGAATAAAAGAAAATGCTTTTAGCAATAAAAACATCAAAGATAGTGCAGAAAAAGGACTTCGTACCTCAATTTTAATGTGATGATAGCGGGAATCCAGCTTAAACTTGACGCAGGTTCCATCACCCCAGTTCCATAAAGCTAATTCACTAAAAAATTAAAAAGGACGAACTGATAAAGGTGGCATTGCAGAAAATCTCAAATGCGAATGACAAGCGTTCGAACAAAGAAAATTACGTCCTGAAGACAAAAGATGTATAAACGAAATCACTGCATGAGCCATAGGAAGTTACAGAAGTCAGTGTCTGGTTATAAAATATTGCCAGAATATGGGCCTTACTTACATAAAAACTGAGAAAGTATGGTAAAACAGTATAATATTTCCTGGTGAACAAAGGGCCTTCCAGCGCATAA